ACAGCGATTACTGTCTCTGGAAAGGTCAAGGGTCAAAGGTACACACACACAGGTCAACGGCCAAGAGTCCGCTTGCTGTCTCCCAAGTCACAGGGTAAAAGACGCCTTTATGGCGGGGGTGAAATTTTTACCTGGTGGTTTCCCTTTAAATTCTTTACGATTACAAAGCAGCAGGACCTGCCAAGAAACATGATTTACTCCTTGAGTATGCACCAGCTCCTTGCTCAGTGCCAAGGGAAGCTGGAGCCAGGCAGGGAGGGGCAGGCGACATGCCAGGGATCAGAGACAGGCATGGGCCGCCGCGGAGGCCCAGTCAGTGGTGGTCCCGTCCAAAGTTTGGCCGCAGCTAGAAGTACCAAAGGCCCAGGCTCCGGGCCTAGGTGACTCAGACTGGGCCCCCAACAAGTCTTAGACAATTTCGCCACTTTCTCCAGGGGCCAGCCCTCATCTCAGTTCCTCCTGGAATATTCACCCCTCCCTGGCCTGTGAGCTCCAAAGCCCACTGCCGCTGTCACAGCCACCAGACCCCTGCCCAGGTCCCTGGTTTCACTCTGGTCTCAAAGCCACCAGGTCTTCTCCTGGGCTTCTACAACTGGAAGCTCCACACATAGGTGTGGCTGGCCAGGGAGCCCCTGGGGGGGAAGAGCAGCTTCTCTCGCTCCTCCCTCCCTGACACAGCTAACCCCAGGCCCAAGTCCATCAAGGCTTTTAAGAAAACCCCCCACCTTGGGCTGGGGATTTAGCTCAGCGGCAAAAGCGCCTGCCTGGCAAGCGCAAGGTCGTGAGTTCGGCTCCCGGTACCGGAGAAAAACCAAAAAAAAAAAAAAACAAAAAAACCCCACCTCAACCCAGCTCACATCCCTGTGCAGAAGGAAATGAGCTGTGACCCCTCCCAGCTCCCAACTTTGTTTATAAGCAGGATCTGGAAACAGTGGTATCTGGAAACGATGCCACAGGCAAACATGTACAGTGGCACCCTTCTGGGCCATGCGCCAGACGAAGGCAGGCGTGACCAGACCCCATCCGTCCTTCACCTGGGAGACCTCCTTCCTCACCGAGCAAGGCAGCTGTGCCTGCAGCCAGAGAGCCCAGGCCCAGGGAGGCTCTAGACATGGGGGCTCCTTCTTCGAGAGCCCGCTTTTCCCATCTCTGACCTGAGAGGGCTTCCCAGGAACCCTGCTCAGTGAACGGGCTAAAAACAAGCAAACCCTAATTCTACCGCTTTAGCAGGCAGAGAGCAATGTGCGGCGGTCCAGTGCAACCCCAGCTCCTTCCTGAGGAAGCGAGGCTTGGAAGGCTGAAGCTGGTCTCACAGGACCCTGGTACCCCAGCCCCAGCTCATGGCAGGAGGCCGCGTTCACATAAACCCCAGAACCCTATCCTTCACCCTCAGTCCTGCAACAGGCTTGGGCTTCAGGCAGAGCCAGGCTCAACCTCAGTCTCCCACGTGAGTGCCCTGGGAAGCCCCTGAGCCTTCTTCCTCAGGGGAATCCAAGCAGACCACACTCCGCCTGGAGGAGACCCTTGCCTAGTTATCACCTACTCTCATTGTACTATTTTAATCTTTTCAGACCTCCCTGCACATGCTGACCTTCTGCTTTCTCCTTCTGCTCCTGCCTCTGCTTCCCTAGTAGTCTAGCTACCCCACGTCATCACAAAACCCCTCTCCCACCGAATACCTCTGGGCCTCAAGTTGTGGCCAAAGCCAGCCCAGGCACCAGGAATGGGTTTTTTCTGTTGTTTTTTTTTCCAGTACTGGGAATCGAACTCACAACCTTCCACTTGCCAGGCAGGCGCTGCACCGCTGAGCTAAATCCCCAGCCCCACCAGTGGTGTTTTGTCTTTTTTGGTTTTGTCTTTTTTCTGGTACTGGGAATCGAACTCACGACCTCGTGCTTGCCAGGCAGGCACTATGCTGCTGAGGTAAATCCCCAGCCACTCCAGTGGTGTTTTGAGGGGTGGTTTCCTGGGAAAAAGTAAACACTCCCCAAGCTGAACAAAGGGCCTGGCAGGGCTCTGTACCTTCCTGCTGGTGCCTGGAACAGAGGTGGTACCCCAGGGCCTGGTCATCTCAGGACAGGAGGAAGAAAAACTTTTTGCTCAGATTTGTCTGTGACTCTGGGAGAAGGTGACTCTGGGCTCTGTCCAAGGGACGGGGCGGGGGTGCTGCAATCCAGGCAGCCACCAGCTTCCCAGTGCCAGGATTCAAAAGCACCTCGCCGCTCCCAGAGACCCTCCACTCACTTGTGCCTGCCCTTGGCTGTGCTGCTAACAGAAGCTCAGGGGAGGGCCGCAGGAGCTTCCCAACCTGAGCAAACGTTGGGCCCCGTTGCCTTTGCACCCTCCCAGCTCTAGACCTGGCTGGGCTAACCAGGCGGATGGGCAGCAACAAGTCCCAGCCTGGCCCAGTTCCTGCCTTTGTTCCTTTATCTGCCCTAGGCAGCACGGCCCCTTATGCCAGCACCCCCACCTAGCAGGGTCTGGCCCTCCTCAGGCTGGGACTGGTACCTGCTGGCTGCACCAGGACCCAAGGCAGGGCAAGGGAGGTCCAGCCAGCATACCTGGCTGCCAGGTGCGCACAGAGAGAGGGCATCTCCATGTAATCACAAAAACAGAAACTGAGTCACGGAGCGCGACTGACCAGCAGTGCCTCTGGAAGTAACCTGCTCTGTGAACCTGTAAAGAAAGACCCCGCCCTCTCCCCGCCCCTGGCCTAGCTGCGGGATCCCCGCTTCTCTAGGAGCTGGTCTCCACTCTCAGTCCAGACATGTGGCGAGGGCCTCCTCCTCACTGAGGACTGCCTTGTAGACACATGACTGGTGCAGGCCCTTCGGCCCTGGGCACACACAGAGCCTGGTGCGAAGTACATGCTGGGGTCCTCAGTGGCACTGTCCAACTGGGTACTTGCTGTCTTCAGAGTGAGTCTGTCTATGACGAGCCGGTCTCATGTGGGCTCAGCCCAGGACGGAGGGCATAGTAAGCGTTCAGTATCTGCTAAACTGAGGTAACATCTAAGGATAAAACTAGGACATGAAGTCAGGTGGAACAGGGAAGTCATTCGTGGCCAAGGAACCTGTGTGTACAAACACACAAAGGCCGGGATGGGGTGGCCCTGGGCATCCTCCAGCTCCACCCTAGGCTGCCACAGCAAGCAGCACTGTAGGCTGGCTGCCAGGGAGTCGGGCTTTTAGTCACCGTGGGTGTCGGCTTCGGAGCTAATTGAGAGGGAGGGAATCGACCGACGCAATGTGGGCGCCAGCGAGGCCAGGACGCCAGGGTTCTATTTCTGGCCTCACTTCTGCCTCCTGCCTGACCTTGGCGACACCCTTGCTTCAGCCTCAGTTTCTCTCCCTAGAAAACAGAAACAAGTTTTAGCTCTGTGGTACAGCACCTGCCTGGCAAGTGCAAGGTCCTGAGTTCAAATCCCGGTACTGCTCCCCCTACAAAGAAAACAGGAACAAAACCTTTCACCCCTGGAGATCCAAAAAGGCTTAGAAGGATTACACAGAGGACCTGCCTATGCCTCAATCCCCCTGCCTAAAAATAACATCCTAGGCTGTGGAAACCAAACCACACCTCCCTCCCCTACAGGGGGAGGAGGAGACAACCTACTTGGGGAGAAGCGGGGACCCGGCCCCTTCAAGATTTATTAATCTGCTGTGAGGAATTCCACCAGGGAAGGGTGGAGGCATCAGCAGGATAAATATCTCACCTTCCCAGGCCTGGGGAAAGGGGACACTTTCTAACCTAAACCGATTAACTCTTCTCTGTCCATTTCCCAGGCTGAGAGAGGACTCCCAGGCCTACCCTCAGACGTTCCAGAAGTCAGAGACTGGGAAAGCCATGATAAGCAACCCACTTCCCACTCCTCCCATCACCATCACGTTGCAAGAGTGGGATGAGGTCAGGGGAGGGGGAGCGGGATGGGGGTTGGGCCTCAGCCAAGCCCAAGGAAGAAAAGGTCAGCCCAGCCTTTCACCCAATATGGCTGCCGGGAAATGTGGCCAGCCAGGCAGCACAGGCCCCACCCAGGGCGGCAGCTGGACACGGTTCCCTCTGGCCAGAAGAGGGCCAAGGTTGAGAACTCCCCATGACTCCAGGCCCCTTGCCCACAGCACGGTTGGAACACCTCATCCCAGGCCCAGAGTGGACTCTTAAGACCGCACATTCCTCTTAAAGAAGTGGCTAGTAGGGGCTGGGGATTTAGCTCAGCGGCAAAAGCGCCTGCCTGGCAAGCGCAAGGTCGTGAGTTCGGTTCCTGGTACCGGAGAAAAACCAAAAGAAAAAAAAAAAAAAAAAAAAAGAAGTGGCTAGTAGAGAAGCCATGTATCCTCCTGGAGTGGGCACCTGGCGTTCACTTGCCCAGGGATCAGTGCAAAGGTGATGGAGCTGAGGGCTAACCTCTCACTCCGAAGACCCCCAACCGTCATTAAAACCTTCCAGTGACTTCCCAGGAAAAGCGCCCATCTGGAGATCTGAGGCCCTCACAAGCATTCACTCTCCTAAATCTCTCAGGCAGCTTCCCTGCCGGTCACAGCCACAGTGCCCTCCCAGGGTCCAGGAAGGCCTTTCCATACGGAGAGCACAGGAAGGCTCGCCAAGCGCCAGTGCCCTGGAGAGCAGCCCCTGCTCCCCCAGCCCGCGAAGGCTCCGGCAGCTGCCTCACTGTCTGACCTCCACCCTAAGGGATGCCCAGGACACAGAGCAGCGGCAAGCTCGAAAGGAGTAACGCCCGTCTCCCCAGTCACTACCCTGCAGACCTTGGGCCACCAGGCCAGGAACGCAGATGCCCACACTCAGGACCCCTTCCCAAAGTATCTAAGTGGCTGCTGGGCTTTCTCAGCAAGTCATCACTGCCCCGCTCCCCTCCCACCGTGCCCACACAACCCACGTGGCGGTAGTCTGTGCCTTTCTTGCCCCACGCCCTCTTCCCTCTCCTGCGCAGTGGGGTTGTGTTATGAAGCCAGGATGGGCTCAGGAAGCGCAAGGCAGCCTCTTACCTTTGAAGGACAGCCGGACACGGGGCGTGGCTGGGAGGCGGTCTTGGGTAGGGGTGGCTGGCCAGGCCCCAGTCAGCAGGGAAGCCCAGAGGATGAAACCAGTGACAAGCATTGTGGGAGGGGCCTAGGGCCCAGGAAGCAGGCGTGGCTCTCTGGACACCTGGGAGAGGGAAGCGAGACTGAGTGGGTGAGGCAGAGAAGGGAAACCCTCCCTACCAACACTGCCCTTGTTCCACGTATGCCCAAGGTACCTGTGTTTCCCTAACTAAACACAAATGTGATGCGGTCCCTGTACTGATGCTCCTAGTCTCAGGTCACGAATACCCCAGTGTGCAAACTTCACATATGTTCTTCTGCCTATCTTTGGGGGAAGTGTCACAAGAGCATGAAGATCAGGCTCTAGTGGGTGCCCAGGGACCACCACAGCTAATGGGGCAGCTGGAACCTCCAACCCAGGCTCCCGGGTATCCTGAATTTCAGGACGCAGCGCACGCTTGAGCGCGGAGCCCTCTCCGGGTCCCAGAACACTCTCCCATGCTACTACCACAACCACGCCAGCCCCCGCTTACTCTCCCACTTTGAGGAATGGGGAAGAGACAGGGCCTACCCCTTCCTACTTGGGCTAAATTTAGACTCCTGATGCCAGAAAATCTGGATCTGATTTTGGAATGGGGTGGGGGGTCGATGAGACACACACAGATGGTTCACAGCAGAAGGGACAGCACCAGGCAGAAAAGGAGAGACAGAGAACAGCAGGGCCCGCTTTCCCTAAAACCAAAGCAGGAAAGACCTGGGTCAGACAGGTAGAAGGACTTCCCGCCGGGAAAAAGTTCCCTCTCTGCCCCTGGAAGGCGAAGAAGGGGAACTAGAGTAGCAAGTGGGCGTGGGCAGGGTCTAAGCAAACCCCCTTTAGAGCTCCTGTATCTCCAGTGGGCCCAAATTTCAATATTGTGTTTTTCAAATATTGTCTCCCCAGGCAGGCTGGCTGTTGGGTAAACGCAGCCCAGCAGCAGTTGTTGGAACATATTGCTCCCTCCCGGCACAAACCAGTGCCAATCCCCACCCCCACCCGGAAACACTGGGCGTGGGGGCCTGGAGAACACCACGTGAGCCCCACCCCCATCCTCCCTATCTCTCCCCTCCTCCCAAGGGAGGCGCGGCCCTGCGCCCAGTTCTAGGACTCAGGGATGGGAGTTGGGGCACTGTGGCCTGTCACCCCCTGCCATGACTGTCCGGGGCTGACTCTCAGCCCCCACCTGACAGACCCGCATGCCCTCCTCAGCCCACCTCCCAGCCTGCCTCTCTGCCCAAGGCAAACCACTCACGCGGTTCCCCAGACAGGAAGCACAGCTCAGGCCTCTGGCCCGGTCCTCTGTGGCACTCTCCGTGGGAACACCCCCCACTCCAGAGTGCCTGGAGCCTTACCCTCAGGTCCCTTAACACATTCCCTACCCCAGGTGCACCCTCTGGGGAGGGGAGAATCAGAACCAGCACCCCCCGGCCAGCGTGGGTCCCAAAGCAGAGCAGATGGAAGACAGGCTCTGACAGGGAGGGGAGGTGGGAGAAAGCGCCGCACAGCCACCACGCCTTGGGTGCACCAGGAAGGCCCCCCCAACCGCTCACACATATACACGCCCACACGTGCGTGCCCACACATGTCCTCACAAGCACACTCTGCTCAAGAACTTGACCTGCTAATGGGGTGGGGCTCAGGGAAGGTGGGAGACAGGGCTCTGGCTTAGGCAGGGCAAGATGCAGTCGGAATACCCTGGGGGGGGGCTTTGACCCTCTGTATCGGGGGCTCAGGTCAACAGGCCTCCCCTCTGCATCCTCCCCGCGACCTCATTTTTCCTGTATCCATTTTCATGGTAATAAGGTCAGGGTCACCAAGGACAGGGCTGGAGTTAGCCAAGGTGTCCAGGAAGGGGGGACCTTCCCACAGGGCCCGCTAGGAACTTCCCACAATGCTCTGGCCCTGCCAGAAGTGAACAGGGGATGCTGAAGCCTGCTGGGGCCCCAGGCCCAGGCCCAGGCCCCTTCTTTGGTGGCCTTGGGGTTGGAGACAGAGCAGAGGGAAGGAAGAAGAGGACAGAAAGGAGAGATGGGAGAGGGCTTCTGCAGTTCCTGCCCCTCTGCTAGCCCTGGTGCCTTCCATTCAGCTCCTGCCCCCGGAAGCCCCCAAGGAGCACAAGCTCAGGTGGGCAGACAAAGGAGGAAGAGCCACCGCCACCTGGGAGCCCACCAGGAAGAGAGCAGAGGAGGAGAAGAAGAGGCAAACGGCGGGAGGGAGCGGGAGCGAGGGAGGGAGGCAGGCGGGAGGGAGGAGGAGAGAGGGAGGAGAGAGGGAGGGACAGAGGAGAGACGCTTGAACAAAGAAACGAGGAGCTGGGGCTGGCAGGGGGTGCTGGGAAGGGGCTGCCAGAGGAAGGGGTCTGGAGGCACCTGGAGGCGGGACAGGGGGCCAGGTGGTCGAATTGTCCAGCCCAATGCAGACCTCCCAGGCTGTGTGTGTGTGTGTGTGTGTGTGTGTGTGAGAGAGAGAGAGAGAGAGAGAGAGAGGGAGGGGGGAGGACAGACCGCCTGCCTCAGGGAAGGGAGGCTGGGCTCCTCTGAGCTAAGACCTGCAGAGAAAGGAGGCAAGCAGAAACAGCGGTTGTGGGGCACACAGGGAGGAAATTACGGACAGCACCCACCCGACAGCAGCCCCTCAGATACATCCCACCCTCCCTGAGCTCCTTCCTGGGTTCTCCGCTGCCCCCTCCCCCAACACCTCCTGGACCAGGAAGCGGAACCATCCCAACACAGCTAGCACGAAACCCCCTTTTGTGGCCAGAGTTTCCCAGTCAAGGTCACCCGGGCCTGGCTCCATCCTCCCCACCAAGGTGTGCGGAGCAGTGGGGCCTGAGGCTGGGTTGCTGGCCTTCCCTCACGCTCACCCCCAGGCCTCTGCACTTCCGGGCTGGGTTCCTTCAGGACTGAGGGGCGGCAGCAGGGGTAGGTGTGCCCGCTGAGACGCCACACGCCACAGGATCCAGGCACACCCCCTGGGTAGCCTGGGAAGAGGCCCCAGACCTGTCCGGGCACTGTGCTGCGCCTCCCAACCACTGCGCCCATTTCCCCATCTCTGCAACTAGGAGAGTGGCTGCTGGCAGCCGAGCTGGTGAATCTGGGGGACAGAGATCCCTAACCTGGTGCAGCTCCAGAGCAGACACACTAGGGTCTCAGTTTGCCTGCTCCCCAAGGCGTTGATACTCTGGCCAAAGCTCAGCTATCTAGAATTAGGAGTTATTTATCCAGGGGGGCCTCAGCCTAGTTCCAGAGGGTGCTTGCCTGCACTACCTAATTCCTGAGACACCTCCATACCTTCCTGTCCCACTTGGGCAGGGCAAGCCCACCAAGCTTCTGTGGTGTCCTGTCCACTTCACCATGTGCGACACTGCAGACTCTCCCAGATCCTCTACGCCCCACTTACAGGAGGGACCTTACAACCAAGCGGGATTCCCCTTTGTAGAAAGCAAATTCAAGATGTGGCTGGCGGGTGGGGGAGCTAGCAGAGCGCTGGGGGAAGAGCAGGAGCTGGCGACCCTCGACGTGGGGGCTGCAGTACAGCGCTTCACTTGGGGTGACCAAGTCTTCCGACAGGGACACCGAGGCTCGGCACTCACCTACCGGGGAAAACGGCTGCCTCGGGCATAAGTGGGACGGAGACCTGAGACCGGAGGAGGGGACCACAATTCCCGGAGCGTGGGGGTGAGGCTACCCACTCACCCAGAACCTTTCCAAGGGGAAAAAGTTGCTTTGCATACCGGTGACCCCGCAGGCCACATCATCCAAACACCACACATCCTCGCGCCGCCCGGAGATAGGAGGTCCCGGCCCAGTCCTGTCGGACCCCGCGTCCGCCCGGGCTGGCCAAGCCCTGCGCGCTGGACACTTCTGCAGAGTTCGGGTGCCACGAGTCCGGGAGGGGTCGCGGCTGGGCCGGCCGCCAGCCCGCGGGTTCCCGCACACTCACCTCTTCCCGGCGGGGGCCTGGGCGCCCA